GCTTGAAATACTTCAAATCCATCGCAAAGGTGATTTTTTTCTTTTTAGAAAATACTGTCTCCAACCTGATTTAAGCAAACTACTGAAAAATCAAATAAAAACCCAAGTTTTTCATTTTTAAAAACCTTATAAATCAGGACGGAGATAGTATTTTTCAAAAAAGAAAAAAATCACCTTTGCGATGGATTTGAAGTATTTCAAGCAAAAATTTAAGCATGATCGGCCGAGTTTTTCGCAGAATCGTAAAGGATGCCAAAGATAAATCGAGTTTTCTTGAAATCTCTTGAAGGACAATAGATAAAGAGTTGAATCGAAAAAGAAATGATACTCAGAAGACTTTTTCATCCATTTTGAAAATATGAACTCTTTTGTCACTTTTAGTTGATTTGTGACAATCTTCTTACGAAAAAAGCGGGGAGCGAGGTATTCTTAAATACTTTAATAACTCTGCGAAAACTTGTTTGATATTTCTGAAAGCTTTTGCATACAGATAACTCGATGTGCTCTACAGTCTGATGGTATCAGACGTCAACCGACGATTAAGCAACCAGAAATTTGAGAGACACTCAGAATGAGTGAACAAACAACATTACACGCGTTGGTCTTGTAGTGTGAGAGATTGCATTGGAATGTCATCTTTATTTTAGGAGATCGAAAGTATTGAAGAAAGAGAAAGTTGAACGTCGAGTGAAGTTTACTCGCCCAGCTCGACTTAATTGAATTATTTCGAGACCTGTAGAATATTATATTTTCCACTCGACTAAAATGTTGAATAGTTCAACTATCAGCACGTAATCTTCAGTTAATTAATATCAGACTATCTTCAGCTCAAAGTGTATACTGGGTCTTTAGGGACCTGCTTCCCGTAGACTTACCTAAGGACGTTCTATGTGCAATAATTATTATCAGATTCGCAATCAGCATAAAAAATTAGCTTACAAGTAGTCTGCCATACTAATATTGGGATTGATCACTTGAAAATATTCCCATATCATATACGATGATGGTTTATTACTATTTTCTCTTTAATTCTAGCTATAGAAACAATGACTATACAATTAGAAAATCGAAAGTTCGGCGGTGCAATTGGTGATAATATCAAAATCTTAATTGTCTTTCTGTATGACATGTTTTCCTTTTCTTAGCTCCTAGTCGTAGTGAAACCGGTTTAATGGATGTAAATGAAGTTGTTCAACTTCGTTACATGTACGATCGATATTATAATTTAATTATGGCTGGTATACCAATATCATTAGATGTAAGTTGACATTAGTTATTAATAGTTCTTTACATAATACAATGTTTAGTATTTTCATCATTTAAAAACTATAACCAACGATTTATACATCACAGCTAAAGCGATATCAAACATGACTCAACGACTGACAGAGGAAAAAGATGTGGTAGAAAAAAATGTAAATAGAATTGATAAATTATACCAAATGATCACACTATCAATGAATATCAAAGATACTAGGTATATCTCTATCATTTATTTATACTTAATAATAGTTCAAGTATATCTGTCCTCAGTCGTGGTATTACACTGAATGATATACAAGAGAAAAGTGTTATTACCGATAATGTCAATCTGAATGATTTGGTACAAAATCAAAATCGAATTATTCGATATATTAATGATTTTTGTATCGTTGTTGCCAAGAATATATACGATCATGAAATGCAAACAGGAAGTTAACAAATCTGATAACGTGTAACGGAGCTGTACACAACTGACATCAACCTATTAGGAGAGAGAGAGAGTTTGCAACAGGTGACGTCAGCTATCACTAAACTTTCTTACTAGAAAGTTTTCAACATAATCTAATGAAGGTGTTGCTCGGTGAAAACTTGATCAATCGTAATTATGTGGATAAACATAAAGAAACAATCTAACTAAAGAGTTTTAGATCAAAAGACTACTACAATAGTTTATATCAGAAGAATAAAAAGAAACAGAGAAGTGACAAATATACAGCGAGTACAATATTTATTCTATCGCTTTTTTACCGAACAAAAGACTTTTCTTTTTCTTCTGGAGTATTGAGGAAAGATACGTAAAGATAACATGGAGGTAGTCAAAATAAATCTCAAAAAGTGATTGATGTCGTTTGTGTACAGTCCTAGTGTAGGATATATGACCATCTTATTAGAAATACTCATGAAACTACGAGTCTTATCACTTTTCTGTTTAGTTTCTATCCGAACCTAAAATTGATTTAATTGAACGTTTGAAATATTTGTGTCATTTGATTATGAACATAACTGGACGCCAAAGTTTAGATGCATTTGATGATGAACGAACGGAACTGTTCGAAAATGTATGTACTTCTCTCCTCAAAAGAAAAGCTCTATTTGTATTATTAAGTTTATGATACTTTTTTAGCAGCACACTAGCTCGCCCACAAAACGCGCGAGCCAAGAAGCTTTAGTTAAACAATTTTATCGTGCTATGAATGGAGGCGATCCCAATGGACAAGGAGGATCCTCACAACGAACATCTATGAGAGGTATCGCTTCAGATTTCTAACAGGGAGATATCTCTATGGTTTGATACTTGCTGTTTCAGTAGATAATAGTACTATCCTTATACCTGAACATTTGAATTCTCAGAGAGCAAAAAGTGAATCAGAATCAGTTCAAAATTCACTAAATATAACGGTACAAAAATCGCCTGATTATAAACAACAAATGCAACGAGATACAACTAATTCATTGACCACAAGACAATCGACAAAACTAAGAATGTCAAGGAAAAAAACATTTGTCTGAAGAATTTATTTGAATAGTCCTGTTTTCTTTCCGACAGTTGACTGATTTTCATTCATTAATATTTGCTGTTCTTGAAAACGTTGAGCTATACGTTGATTAACCTTAATAAATTTGTCTAAACAAGTACGAATGCATGACTCCTAAAACAGGAAAACAAAAAGATGAAACAGAGACAGTAATAAAATGGAAATAGAATTGTTACCTCTCCAGCTGATACAGCTCTTCCAGTGAAATCATTAATACAATCATTAAAACACTGTTCCGATATTCGGTTATATTCACGACAATATTCACGCAACTAAAACAGAAATAAAGTTGTTCATAAAGACAAAATCGTCTTACATATTTTGAATCTATTTGAAATAATGATAGGTATTGTCTATTTTTTCCATTAATACTTCAGAAACTTACAGAAGAATACTTACTGGGAGTAATTGTTCTTGAAAAAGGGATGATGCTTGTGGTTGAGTTTGGGCGGTTGTGGTCGGTGTATTTGATCCTCCAAAACCAAACATAATTTCACTCTGAAAACAAACAGACAGAAAAATCAAATAATTTAGATTCTATTCAAACTTTTTTGTTCCTTTTGATAGTAAGAGAATAAATCAGAGATTAATAACAAAAACAAATCTGGATATTAGAATACCTAGAAGATATTGTTGAAAACATTAGTTCTGATATAACTAATACAAAATTCAAATCATAGTTTATATAATCATATTTTTTTGCTTACTTGAAGATGGTATTGTAGAAAAGATTGATTTTCTCTTTAAAAAATCTTTTTTATCGTTCATAGCATACTTAACACAACAAGTGAGTATTAATGTAGTACTCGTCTTCAACAAGCATAACATTTCAACAGACAAACCGTTGATTATAGTTGTCTCAGATCATTGTAGACCAGGTTTATCTTCCAATATCAGACAGACAATATCAATAATATAAAAAAACATATGAAATATAAAACAAACACATACACAAAAATAATAGAAAAAAATATCATAATTTTATAAAAGCTAGAGTTTCATAGAAAATTATATTCTTGTCATATTATTTGTAGTAATTATTTAAGTTTGACTCCAAAAAATATCGGACAAGATAATATAACAAGAAAAACGCTCCAAAGGATAAAAAAGTCTTGCAAGGAAAACAGATAACATGTTTTGTAAAAGAACATGAGTCGTATGAATATTAAGATATGGACAAGAAAAAGTTTCCGAGTGCCACCTCGAATTTTCCTTAAAACATACTTGATTATGGGTAATTTTTGATATTGATCTCGAATCTGATATCCGTTCATCCCCGTACGATCTTTCAGAATCTCTGTTCAAATTCGGTGTCTTCAGGAACCCATAGTGAGCTTTTGTCTGGACAAATTCTGATAGTGTCAGATTGTAGAGGATATCAAATAACCCCTACTGACACGTTTTGAGAAACAAAGGACGAGTTTTCATTGACTTATAGGTTTTGTATGAGAAAAATACCTGAATGATCCTTATCTTGACTGGATAAAACACTGAAATTTTTATAACTAAGTGCACTATCAGAATTTGTCCAGACAAAAGCTCACTATGGGTTCCTGAAGACATCGAATTTGAACAGAGATTCTGAAAGACCGTATGGGGATGAACGGATATCAAATTCGAGACCAACATCAAAAATTACCCATAATCAAGTATGTTTTAAGGAAAATTCGAGGTGGTACTCGGGGATCTTTCCTCGTAATTGACTTCTGTGCAATAAGTGCAGTTTAGAGGTTAGATAGATACTAGAAAAAAATTGTCAAACATTATGCAGTTCAGATTTGTAATTTTATTCTAAATGATCCAGCCTTATTTTTCCAGTATATCTGTTTTTGTTTGTTTTCATTGCTTAACTTTCAATCTCAGTTCTTCTCGGATTATCTTTCCATTTTTACTGCTATTGAGTTCAAATGTTTCATTTACCATATGAACTGTTTCATCGCAATCTTGCACCATTAACAACTGATGTATATTGAGATATCGCAGACAAAATAATTTTCAACAAATAACATTACAAAATTTTCACATGATAAAAGATCAATACATTATTTATATGAACGAATTGATTTTTCCTAAACCAGTAGACAGCTTATTTAGTTTAATTTTAATTTTAATTTATCATTCCATTGAAATATCAAGAAATTTAGATGTTACCGAATAACTCTTACTAACATATTTATATTCAACATATATATAGCAATGCGAATATCTTTGATTAATATTATTATATAGCATGAAACATCGAATTAAGATTGAAAAACACTAATTTTTTTTCTTTTTAAATCTTATAAATGATTGACAATAAGACTAGACGTTCGTCTCCTTGTACCATTTACTGCTAACATACAACAAATAGATAACAGTCCATTAAAAGTAAAAATTTATCTAAATGAATAAACAATACGGTAAATACCGTTGTTATAATAGTTCAGACCATCATTTCATATTGCATCCTTAGAAAGTAAAGATATTTTACAACTGCATTATAGAATAGTATACTGTTGTTGAGCGGGGACTATAAACAAATATTTCTACTCTATATAATAGCTCATTTACACATAAATACTGATAACTGACAAGAGAAAGCACTCATTTGCCCATGTTATAGCAACTGCAATTAATATTTACAAGAAATAAATAGAGAGACATACTATACACATGTTATATCTATTGACATCAATAAAAAAAAGAAAACATGTATGTAAATGAGAAAAATAGGTTTCAATATCAAGCATAAAAAAAATAGATATATTGCACACAGACAAATAGAGAAAATAAAAATTGAGAAGGAATTAACTACTGTTCTTTTTTTGTTACACTTGAAGATAAATTGGAAGAAGAAGAGTCATTCTCCTGTTTTGGAGGATTTGAAGAAGTTATACTAAATATTGACATTGGAGATGTATGTTCAAGTTCTTTTAAGTTTTTCATATACTTTTCCAACTGAGATTGCGAGCCAAATAAAGCTAAAACATACATAAGAGGAAAACCAGTAAAAATTAAATATTATGATATTCAGTCAATGTTTCCGATTGTTTTTAGTCAACGTTTCGAGACCTTTCTGATAGGCAGTTTTTTAAAGAAATAAAATATTTATAGGTACGTCAGTATTTAACAAACAATCGGACTTTAAAAATTGTCTACTAGACAGCTCATCGGCTGTAACTATTCCAAACGGCTGCTTATAATAGCTGTCCGTCTCTGATAATGCGACAGATTAGTTACAGTAAAATACTCATGACATTTATTCGACAAATTTTTTGCAGAATAAAAACTTGGAAAAAGTGTCAAAATCTTGTACTCAGCAGAAAGTATTTCTAAGTATAATTCTTGATAATAGTTTCCCTTGAATTTTGAACGATTCCTACTGTGAATGAAGATCTGCTTTGTTAATTAGCCGTCTGATTAATGGATCATTATTACTAAATGAAATCCGCTCTTATTAATTTTTAACAATTTCTGATAGAACTCTCTTACCCAGACATAATGGTTGTTGTTTATTTTGGTTATCGTAGATGAGTCCAGATGTACATATTTGATTATTTAATTCATGTGAACCATGTTCAATATGAAAATAAATTTCTTCTAACAACTGACTAGTTTGACATGTGTATACTTGTTTGTATTGGCCATGTTTATGCCAAGATTTAAAACCGAGTACATGTTGACGATTTGTCGATAATTGTTCGTATAAATCGAATGATGACTGAGCGATATTCAGTAAAATATTATCGAATGTTAAATGAGTATGTTCAATATTTAAAATAAACAGCATGCGACGAGGATCAAGAGAATAGGATGTTTCATCTTCACTGGAATCAGCCTAAAAGTAAAGAATAACAAACGGGTACAGATAAAAGTCCGTTATGCATCTTTTGAGCAGTGATTTCAGCGAGAGAGAGGACTTACTTGTGATACTCCCGGAGACGATGGTGGAGATGGGTGTTGTGTGTCATTTAATAGAAATGCAATGGCATCCTCTAAATTATCAACATGATGAAGGGCCTAAAGTGAAGAAGAGGAGAGAAAAGAGAATATGATGTATTGGTAGTAAGAGATGATATATTACCTCTTTCGCATGAGCTAGAGAAAACCCCATATCGATCAGTACAGCTAAGTTGTCTGAGCTAACATTTGAATTTGATGCCGCATCATAATTCATCATTGAGATGTAAGAAAGGGTATGATCTGAAAGCGAAGAATAGAAACCGAAACAATTGAAAAGAATGACGGTAAAACTATCAGAATGCCATGTTAAAAGCAGAGGCTCATTCGACTCACGCATTTCTTGTCACATGTATTGTGCTTTTTATAGCAGCTAATGAACGAAAAAGAAAAGATACATTTTATCATCTTACACATGTGCAGCAGTGTTTCCAATGAGAATTTTAAAGCTAAGCGGTTTTTCACAGTTTACCACCACACTTTCCATGTTTTCCTTGCTAAAAACAGAGAGGAAATCGAGTTTTCAAAGTGGAAAATCACTTTGTTCTCACGGGGACCACCATCATTAGAAACACGCACAATGATTCTTTCTCGCTTCTCTATGCGCATATTTGTCTGCTCAGCGGAAAAGAGAATTTACTTTCGATAGGAAATATTTATTATGAATTTTACAAGACTTACAAGTAAAAAACTGAAAAATAGGAGATCTTTTATTTCAACTTTTACAAAAAGAGTTCAAGAGGGGCCTTTCATTGTAGGCAAGTCTTGTACTGTTTCTACCCGTTTGATGTCATCTTAAAGTATGGCAATAACACAGTAAAAGACATGCCATCAAATTTTTTCCCATAGTACTTTTATTTTATTATTTTAGTATTAAGCCGTTACACACTCACTGGAACGTTTCGGATGTGCTTTGCTTCTTCACATATGGTGGATCATTTGATTGTTCGTGATTCGTTGCAATTAGCCATTTTCCGCTCCCAGAAGCCCTTATACTATACTAAAGTACATAATCGAAAAACATGAAACGAATACATTTCAACTTAATCGAATAAAGAGTAGAATGTAGAAGGGAAACTTTAGTTTTTTACGGAGATGTTATCAAAATTAGTAACTTGACGTTTTTGTGTAGCGGGATGAGCGACAATAACGGAGCACTGAAAACTACGCACAGTGGAAAATCACGTGGACATTCCGAACAATTTCGAAAATGCGATTCCAATACAGCTTCATATACTTCCGGACTTGTTCTGTTTAATGCCATAAAAATAACCATTTTCAAATCTCATGGTTCATGGGAAAATACTTAGCTGGTAAATCCATCTGAAATGTGCCATCATTACAGCAAGTTGATCCACTTCACTTCAAACCATCATATCGTACGTATTCACCACAGTTTGGTGTGGTGAGTCCGTCCGTCCCACTTTGTATTCGGCTCTGATCAGCGAGCCTTTTCATTAAGGTGAACCATCGTTTAAAAATTTGACACTGGACTGTGACGGAGTGAGAACTGGGTAGGGTTCCGATCGGAAAGCTTTTTCAGGAGACAGAACACAAGATACAATTACAAAAATTATAAGATACGATTGATGAGACTGATCATCAGCACCAAATTCCTCAAAGACTAAAGGACGAAAGTTTTACAGTATAGATGCTATACCTAGAGCGTGCATTCCTGCAAGTTCCAGCTCTTTAAAGTGTTGGATTAGTGCGTTACAGTGAAAACATAAAATCTCGAATTTCACTAAATCGATCATAACTCGCCAAGAAAGCCGCATTCGCACGAATCCTATTAGACTTTTTGTTACATTAATTAGCCCTATTGATCAACAAAATATGAATTCAAACGGCTTTAATGACTTGGGAAGGTTCCAAGGATGTTGAACCATGTTTTCATGTCGCACATTTTTATCAAATACCGTCAGTATACCGCGGTATCAAAAAATGCCGTACCGTACACTGAAGGTTATCTATACAACAGTATAGACATTTACCGACGGTAAATTTTTTATTCGCGCTCATGCCTATTATCAAATACTATACTTCTTTTACAGAATGGCTCAAGAATGCGTCCAAAACATTCTATTTTTCCAAGTCTGTCGAGCAGAGCGAACTCCAGGATTCGTTTCTGCAGAGCACAACAGCAAAGTTTGTTTTCCCCTGAAAATTTAACATATACGTACCGCCATCAGTCTTATTAATTGTAAATTTTTTTACAGTATGGTTATCAAGGACACAAAGATTACCGAAACTATCCAAGCTAATATCCCTTGGTGCATTTCACTCATGAGGCTTATTACCTTGAGTTTCTCAAGCAATTATTGTACCTGATGGTTCGCCTATATTCCATTTTAAAACACGTCGTTGGAACTGGTCAAGAATGTACGTACATATTTCCATTGTAATCTAATTCCACTGTCACTGGGCTAAGTATCGGGGATACGCGCGTTCACGTCTGTTGATGAGCCTTACGACCATTTTAGAACATGATGATTTCTCCTAATCACTCCATACTAGTGTTACTGGCTATAAATATGCTGCTGTCTGAGCGAGGTGCAATCACCTTTCCTTTAATTGCATTCTTACTTCATGGGTCGGCCGGGTATAGCACCTCACCCCAGTATGCAATGAATCCTAGCATTCGTGGTGTCAGCAATGTAAATATTGTCACTAGGATCAATGAACACTACCTTTATAAGATACGATTGATGAAACTGATTATTAGCACTAAATTTCTCAATGACATCGTTTGGCGCATACTTCATAACACAACGATTACCAAAGTCTGCTATGTATAAATTATTGTAACGATCCAAAGCTAGACCTTGTGGCGTATTTAGCATATCTAGAGCCGATGCAGATGTTCCGAGGGTGAACCTTCCGCACATTTTCAGTTTCGATATTTTCCTTTCCTAATTTTTTTCGACGTTTTCCCCTTTCAACATTCTTCCATTCGATGTTTTCCACCAAGACCAATGTGATAACACCAAGAGGCATAACTAGCACAATAGAAAACGGATGTGCTTTGGGTCCGCCCGTACCCACTTTGTATTCGACTCTGATCAAAGAGCCTTCTTATTAAGGAAAATCATCGTTTAAAAATTTGACACGAAACCGGGGCTGTGACGGGTGAGAACTGGGTAGGTGCGGATCGGAAAGTTATTGTAAGTGTCACAGTGCAGAACATAAACGGAATGCTAAAATCGAAGAAAGATATATCCATCAACAAAAGTACACAACAAAAATGTCGACTCACAGGGTATTAGGGTGCCCAGTGGCTTTACCGTCCATGTTCCAGCAGCAGTGGTAGCGGTAATGGAATTGGCCGTTGTGACTGTTGCGGATCCTAAAGTACTCGCTGTTGTTATGCTAGCATCTATCACAAAAAAGTATCATAGTCTCTCTCTTCATCTACCAACTAGCCGATAGTAACAAACTGTTTTGATTTTGTGTTCGTGTCATTATCACAACCAACGGACTTGCAACGGCAGCCCCGCGTACAAGAAGTATTGAAATAACATAAAGAAATCTGTTGGCTCTAAACTACTTTTACTGTTAACAAGAGAGAAAACACATTGGCAAACATACTTTGGCGACGGAACGCTTCGCTCTTGTCTCGGATCAATATAGGTTTCGGGAAAGTGAGGGTGAAAGAGTGCACTCTACAGGAGGTGATAAATACATGAGCTATGTCGTAACTTCTTCTCTTCAAATACATTACTTTTAAAGGTTTAACAATGGATATTGTCACTCTGCAATAAATCTGCTTCTACACTGAATAGCGATCCGTGTTTCTTTCCAAAATGATGACTTGACTCACTTTGTCATTCGAGCACTGTTTCCTTTTTCTCTTTCTTCGTAGAAAATATTGCTCTTATTCTTAGGTTAATGGAATGGAAAGCGTGTACTTTCTTCTGACATCCTCAAACGCAGTAGGATTCTTTCCTGCGCTTTCGATTATTTAATAGATGTGACATTCATCACGAAAATGGAATCCGAATATAACCATTTGATTTTTGTCTTCTTTGCACGTACGACAGAAATGCAATCCATACGTAACCAAGAAAAATCTTCTACGAAGAATGTTCTCCTACGAAAATCATGCAGGAAATAATAAAATAACGTTGATGGATCGTGAGTATAAATCTATGGAAAAAATATATTGGAATGAGGATATTTAATTAGATTTATTAAACGTTTATTATAATCTGCATAACGGCACGAAGATACGATCGTAATGCTCAGCCATGTAAAACGCCGCATTTTTCCGTTTACGAGCGACTCTGTTTGACTTAGGAGAACTCTAGCTGCGTCCAAACGCATTTAGACATTAAACGCGCCTCAATCAGGGCGCAAACAAACGTGTTTGATGCCTGAGACGCATCTAAACGCAACCAATGGGCGACCGCATTTGGGTTTAAACAGTCTCTGAATGCGTTTAAATGCGTTCGCGAAACGTATCCGAACCCGTTTGATTTTGTGACGCGTTGAAACGTGTTTGGAAAACGCGGTCACGCGCGTTGAATTAAATTTTGAAACGCGTTTCAACGCGCTTTCTGAGTGATTTTAAGAAACTCGCATATAGACGCATTTGGCTGAAACAAAAACCGCTTCCAGACGCATTCGATCTGCGTTTAGTGTTTACATGGAATGGGGAAAATTGCAGATTTGCAAATTTGCAGCTATATTGAGGAGAGAAGCGAAATATTGGAATTTCGAAAATTTTGATTTAGCGACCTCAGATCACTTTGAAACTAAAAACAAACATCAGCGCTCGACTCAGCATGGTCGATTACCCCTATCCTTATCTATTTTATGGTGGTTGGAGATCATTTGGCCAATTTCGGGGCACTTGGGAAAATGCTTATAACTCCTGAGCAGAACAAGATAGCAAGCTCGGCCTTACGCACATCGAAAGAGAACAATTTTCTCTATCGAATGGTCAATATCAGATTGAAAATCGCTTGACAAACGTTTTCGGAAAACCATTGAAAACATGTCCAGTGGTAACTGACCAGCTTGACCACTCGATGATCGGTCGTGTTTCACGCAGATCTATGTCGCCATCATTGCTGTTCTGAATGTTGAAAACCGCAGATCGATATCTTGTACGTATCAAAAGTTATTCAAAAACGCTCACGGCTCTTCTATTTTGAAATGGATAATCGTTTTTTGCCATAATCAGAAGTGATGATTTTAAGAAAAAGATACCTCGCGTTACTCTTCCTCATGTAAACGGGTTTGGGAAATTTGCTCGAATGAAATTTCCTCAAAAGCGATATTCTCGAAAATAATTTCCTCGAATGGAAACCTCCTCGAATTTTCCAAACAGAAACTATCAATATTATTTGTAGTGTATAGAACCTTCCTAAATTTTCGGTTATACATGTTTGTACCATACTGTGTTTGTTTGACTCAAACGACGATCATTTTCTAAAACCAAAGTTTGGTTTTAGAAAATGATCGTCCTGTTTCGACAGCACAATCATGTCGTCTTTTCGCCTCGACTTCAGTTCGAGTGGAAGCTACATCGGCTCTCTCATCCCGAAAACGAAAAGAATCCAAGTCTCATTCGCTAGCTGAATCGTCCAAGTCCAAAAAGAAACAGCATTCGGCTTCCGCCCAACCTCACGAAATTCAAGTTCTCACAAACATGGATTCAAGTCATTCGGAAGCATCGGAAGGTGAGAATGATTTCGATGAATCGGTTGCTGATGCTTCCACGAATTCTCATCATCCTTCATTCACTTCTCGACCTGTACTATCATCGAAGGAACAAACTAGATCATCAATTCCAGCCAATCTCGAAGATATACGATCACACTTTGGCAAAATTCAGTCCAGATATTTGCAGCCAATACTTGTCCACCTTGAACGTCAAAATGACATGATGAAACAATTATGGAAAAATCAAAAGGAGATCGTACGCATTACGGAAACACAATGTGAGTACCATCTTTGTTTTTATAACCGCATTTCAGCACTCTTTCTTTTCAACAGACGCATGTATCTTTGATTGATCCAGAAGCAATGACTATTGACTCATTTAGTGGCAATTCGTTTCAAACAAATGGTAAAGGCGATTGCTTGTTTCTTTATCCAATCGCATGCAATTGTCATTGACAATTTTACTCACAGTTCATCTACATTCTTGTTGTAGATTGTCACGTCCGCGAACGGCATGCAAGTCGATCTACTTCCAAAAACCGTAGACAAAGTCAATTAATATATGGTCGATCTTCTTTTCACACGTTGAACTTGTCATCATGTCACCCGATGAACTTGCCAAAGATAGTCGCTGTGTGACGATGAAAGATGAGTTTCTCCAATAGGTTTAGAATTGAAATCTTCCTTGTGTTTCTCTTTTCAGAAGCTGTAAGAAATAAAGTGAAGTTGGACTTCGATGAACTTGATAAAATTTGGCTATGCTCGATACAGTCATTTTGTCGAAACGTCGGACGATCAGACAGAAGCAAGATGAACGAAATAAACGAACAGCATTGTTGCTGTTCATTTTTGTCTAATGTAACTGGTTTTTTCTTCTGAATTGTACATGTTCTTTCGATTGTTTTCTCTCTTATTTGTATATATTTCTTGGGCAACTACGAATAAATGAATTGAAAGGAAAAACCCATGTCTTCAATACCGTTCAAATACCGCCGGTTACTGGCTAGGTTACCGTCGAGTATATTCCCCGCTATATCACAAGCGGAACTGGAATTACCGCACGGCCTACCAAACCGCACGGTATACCGGTGGTATCAACCTGTATTTTACCAGTGTGAGCAAACAAAAAGGTGATTGTGTCAAAACGGTTTACCGACGGTGTTTTCTTGTACCGCGGTCTGAAAAATACCGTGCGGTAACCGCTTGTAGAAGAAAAAACTATTGCTAAATCGGTCGTTATACCGAACGGTACGGTTAACTAGCGGTAATCTATAGACCGGTCAGTAACCGGCGGTATTACGAAAAAAAGTGCGACACGAAAATATCTGTTCTTTCTTAAAACTAGATTCGAACTGAGGACAATTGATAATGGACTGAAAAACTGCATACACTACGTTGAAGTTACGCTCAGCTTTGTTTTCTTCATCGTGATTACGCGAAATTTCGCTGAAGTTTAGCGTAATAACGTACCGCACTGCAGTTCGCAGTTACTCATGATTTCGCCGGAATTTGAGCGAAGTAGGATACATGGGTAATATCTGTACATCCAGACCTATACATCCTAATTAGGGCGTATAGATTTGGACGTACAGATATCAAGCTGTATAAATTGGAATGTGTAGAAAGGAACCTAGGTCATTTATATGAGTCAATCGTATCTTCGTTGTACAATTTGGTTTCTGGTAGTATTTTAAGCAAAACTTCTGCTCCTGAGGGTCAATTTTCAAAATTCTTTTTTTTAATACTCCTCATGGTGTGCCCCACTACCACAAAAATTTTCATCGCTCTAGCAGCTAAACTCGCCGAGTTATGATTTTGAAAAGTTGAGAAAACCGAGTTTTGGGATGAGTCATCAAAAAGAAAATGGGTCTTTGGCAAAATGAAGGAGAGCAAAACAAAAAAGTAAACAGCACGTTTTATTCTCCGATCAATTCTCTATCGAACTATGTGATTCACTCTGCCTTTTCACTCTTCTTTGTCGGTGCTTCGACATCTATATAGTTTTTCAGATACTTTTGGACTTTTGTGTACAGTGACGCAAAATACTCTCTAGCTTGGACAGGAAAAGAGTCACAATGGCACGACTGGTCTAGAAAGAATGCATGAAGGATGAGTAACAAACTATGCAAAAAATATTCGAACGTTTTCGATTTTATTTGATCGATCGTTCGCTTTTCTAGTAAAACTTTACATCATTCTCCAAAATGTACAGTGACATTTT